TATGATTGCGCCAACAAAACCCAAAATACTTAACAGAGCAAACAAGCTACAGTGTTTCACATTAATTTACTATTATCTTTAGAAGGGACAACAGTTCAGCACTGATATATTGGTAATACCTATCTATGTAAAAGATGTACTTTCTGACTGTAGTTGGTCCAGCTGCTACTGGAAACAGCTGGTCAGGTGGAATAGATGTCCAAAAGTATTGTCTGTCAGTGCTTACTAACCACGAGCATATTTATACACCGAGCAGGGAGCGCCACGATACACTTCATCACTTTATTTTTAATGTTTTTGGAAGCATGTGTAATAAGATTCCTGCTGCTCCTGAACGTTTGGGGTGTTAAAAGCTACAGCTGCTCTCTGCTGTCTGACGCTCAGCTCCCAGACTCTGTTAGTGTTTGAAAATCTGAGTTTGGTATTAACCAGGTAACATTTTATGAGACAACGTACGAGTTAACTGATAACCTATGTCTTAGATGGAAAAGAGGATCTGATGTAATACAATTTAAGCAATACCAAGGGGCAATCAGCAAACACACCCATTACTGCATGCTAAAGCAGCTTCTAATGGTCAGAAGTCAGTAACACAGAATCTGACTAGTCAACAGACTTGTCTAAAGCCACCATGGTAAAAACAACGACTTCACAACCATGCTAACAAGGACAAAATATAAACCTACAGGGAGTGCAGAATTATTAGGCAAATGAGTATTTTGTCCACATCATCCTCTTCATGCATGTTGTCTTACTCCAAGCTGTATAGGCTCGAAAGCCTACTACCAATTAAGCATATTAGGTGATGTGCATCTCTGTAATGAGAAGGGGTGTGGTCTAATGACATCAACACCCTATATCAGGTGTGCATAATTATTAGGCAACGTCCTTTCCTTTGGCAAAATGGGTCAAAAGAAGGACTTGACAGGCTCAGAAAAGTCAAAAATAGTGAGATATCTTGCAGAGGGATGCAGCAGTCTCAAAATTGCAAAGCTTCTGAAGCGTGATCATCGAACAATCAAGCGTTTCATTCAAAATAGTCAACAGGGTCGCAAGAAGCGTGTGGAAAAACCAAGGCGCAAAATAACTGCCCATGAACTGAGAAAAGTCAAGCGTGCAGCTGCCAAGATGCCACTTGCCACCAGTTTGGCCATATTTCAGAGCTGCAACATCACTGGAGTGCCCAAAAGCACAAGGTGTGCAATACTCAGAGACATGGCCAAGGTAAGAAAGGCTGAAAGACGACCACCACTGAACAAGACACACAAGCTGAAACGTCAAGACTGGGCCAAGAAATATCTCAAGACTGGTTTTTCTAAGGTTTTATGGACTGATGAAATGAGAGTGAGTCTTGATGGGCCAGATGGATGGGCCCGTGGCTGGATTGGTAAAGGGCAGAGAGCTCCAGTCCGACTCAGACGCCAGCAAGGTGGAGGTGGAGTACTGGTTTGGGCTGGTATCATCAAAGATGAGCTTGTGGGGCCTTTTCGGGTTGAGGATGGAGTCAAGCTCAACTCCCAGTCCTACTGCCAGTTTCTGGAAGACACCTTCTTCAAGCAGTGGTACAGGAAGAAGTCTGCATCCTTCAAGAAAAACATGATTTTCATGCAGGACAATGCTCCATCACACGCGTCCAAGTACTCCACAGCGTGGCTGGCAAGAAAGGGTATAAAAGAAGAAAAACTAATGACATGGCCTCCTTGTTCACCTGATCTGAACCCCATTGAGAACCTGTGGTCCATCATCAAATGTGAGATTTACAAGGAGGGAAAACAGTACACCTCTCTGAACAGTGTCTGGGAGGCTGTGGTTGCTGCTGCACGCAATGTTGATGGTGAACAGATCAAAACACTGACAGAATCCATGGATGGCAGGCTTTTGAGTGTCCTTGCAAAGAAAGGTGGCTATATTGGTCGCTGATTTGTTTTTGTTTTGTTTTTGAATGTCAGAAATGTATATTTGTGAATGTGGAGATGTTATATTGGTTTCACTGGTAAAAATAAATAATTGAAATGGGTATATATTTGTTTTTTGTTAAGTTGCCTAATAATTATGCACAGTAATAGTCACCTGCACACACAGATATCCCCCTAAAATAGCTAAAACTAAAAACAAACTAAAAACTACTTCCAAAAACATTCAGCTTTGATATTAATCAGTTTTTTGGGTTCATTGAGAACATGGTTGTTGTTCAATAATAAAATTATTCCTCAAAAATACAACTTGCCTAATATTTCTGCACTCCCTGTATTTACAAAAGGAAATATAATATTAGTTCTCTTAGTATTGATGAATTAAGTGTCTCAAATGACACTGTGCTTTAAGGAGGGACAGCAGCACATCTGAATGTTGTTTTTTTGTTTGATTGTTTTTTTTAATGTCCATCAATATTTAACAAGCCATAAGTTAATCACTGATACCAATTAGTCACCAAATTCAAGTTGATAAATTCTGGACATTTCATGATATGAAATGTGTTGATGTGGTGAATTCTAAAGACAATTTCTCCTCAGCTGTGAGAATGTTAGCATGACACTGGCAACGCACCAGCCCCAGCACAGATCAGAAAGTACAGTTAATTAGAGAAACTGCACACTGCAGCGGCTCACTAGATCACGTAGCTGACCTGACAGCGGTGGCAGGTCATCAGTGTGCTGTGCTGTGCCATGCCATCTGTTTACCTGTAAAAGCCAACTGCTCCCAATAGGTCTGCCAGCATAAAGATACCAATTTCTGTTCCCTTCTTCTTACAGTTTTGCTTGCTTGCCTCTCTGCTCCTGTGTTCATCATCGCCTAATTATGAAAGTTATTTTTGAGGCTATTTAATACAGTAAGTTTAGAAGCACTCCTGAACTTGTCTTGTTTAAATACAACACCTCTCGTCTTTAGAGGACTCCTGCTGTCATATTTCGCTTTCTTTTAGTTGTCTCTTCATTCAAATTCACCAAGTGGGCACACGTCTGTCCCAGTCTCATCTGAGGATAAAGTAGATACAAGGTTGAGCTGACCTACCTTGAGCCACATAGTCATTTTACTTGAACATATAAGCCCCACAGTAAAGCACAAGTTGTCTCTATAGTTTACAGCTCAAATAATTGCAGTTGGATTTTACTGGCCGTTCTTCCTTTTAGCTCCTGTTAGCCATCTACCTTCATTAAAGTTATGCTTTGTGTCAGGTACATTCATTTGTAATGCAGATGTCAATTCATCAGAAAAGAACTGATGTATTTATAAAAGGTCACACATAAATTAGTATGTATTAATACCATAATTAGCTCAAATGAGGACACATCAAAAATTTTAAAAAACCATTGTAAAAGTTCAGATGAGTAGGGAAAGTGTGAAATCAGATAAATAGAATTCAATCAGTGCTTCCTTATTGTTTGTTTTTGATGATTTGGTTTTCTTTTTTCCTGTAACAAAGACTGTATTTATCAATTCAAAATAAAAGTTTTGGAGTTAGATTTTTCTTAAAGTCTCAAAGGAGTAGGTGTGAACCTTCTGACGTATAAAGCAATTACAGCAGCAGTTTCTCAGGGGTTTGCTATTGATTTTTTTTCCCCTCTCTTTCTCGCCCTCTCGTGCTTCCTCTGTTTGATACACAGGCTTTTTCCCACGCATTAACAATTAGTATGCAGCAGTGAGGCTATAGGTGCACCAACTACGTAAGGAGAAGAACTCCAATATCACAAACAAACAGCAAAAGTACTGGTCATGCAAGGATGCACACATATTTTTATCAAGTGAGGGGATGGACTTTATTAGCTCAGTCAACGCTAATCCCCTGACTTCAGCTATCTGTGTTGTGTTACAAGAGAAGAGACTCACATGTTAATAAACAGCAAAAGAAAAACAGCAATAGCTCTAGCAACATAACACCAAAGGAGCATTTTATATTTAATCTGGAGCTGTGGCAGTTGTCTGTCTTTTCAATTTCTAACTGAGAACAGGGTACAATGATGGGCTCGTTGCCATATTATGTACATCAAGCTAATTCAATAAGATGCATTACTTAGGAGACTAAAAGAGATGGATGCGTGTACATAAAAAATGAATTATATAAACAGGCCATGTTCAGAACAAGGGAGATCTGGGGCAAGCAATCAAAAAAAATAGAATAAAAGCAGGAAATGATGAGGATTGTGGGTTGATTTTTCAGGGTTATAACCACCAGAACAGTGATAGAGGGAAAGCCAGGTCTTCTAAACCTGAAGCAGTGCTCAAGCCATAAGGATGGCTTGCTATTTATAGTGACAGATTTTTTATTCAAGAGGGTTCTGCTGTTGTGCATCTCTCACGGCTGTGCTGCCTCTCTCGCACCTCCTCTCTAGTCTGTTCATTCCCGTACACTGTGTTCCACAAATAAAGGAGGAGAAGTCTTAAATTCCAGGTGCATTCACAAACAGTCACAACCACTATTGCTTAAAATACAGTGCAATCCACATGCCTTATGTAAGCCCATACGTTGTCCTTTTCCTCTGCACACCTCCCTCCCTCACAATCAGTATGACAGTGTTGCAGAGCAACGCCTACTTCAGTGACTCTCCACACCACCAGCCCACCTCCACCCTCCTCTGTCCCTCCTCCCACACAGGGACAGTGGAAGGGAATTCCTTATTACCTCAGCATTTGCCTCAAACATGTTTCATGACCCTGTACACATGACACTGGTAAATACGCCACACATTATAGTATCTTAGATGCTTTCATGTATACATTTTTTCTGTGCAAATGCAATCACATGTGATAAAATAAACTGTATGCACACTATAGGAAATTACCTTTCAGTCAACCTTAATACATCATATTTGCACTGTTGATGAGACATTGCTTAAAAATGCTTTAGGAACTTCACAAAAGTGATAATGCAATGTGTCATAACAAGAGTTAATTATAGCAGCAGCAATGGCTTCATGCTAAAAATCACAGCTACAGAAGCTACATCTCACCTACAAATTATTAACACCCAATGACAAAGACGCACAAGCACATTCACTTACAGTGCACATCCTTCCTGTATTTAGAGTTCAGCTCTATGGATCTCGAGCCAAATCAGATCAGGTGTCTCAGATAAAACCAAATCATCGCAGGAGAATGAGCAGCAGAAGCAGATCTGGGCAACGCTGTCATTAGTTTTCTCTCCCCTATTACTACAAATAAATGTATCCCATTTCCTGCTGGAGTTGTAGGGTGTTTAAGGTCTTTCTTCCGTCTCTTCAGCTCATTCAACTTTTGTCGTCTTCAAGCTTGCCGTGTTGTCGTCTTGTCTGTACACACTACCAGCTCAGTTTTCTTAATGGCTTTCATGAAAACGGTCAAAAAACTCTATTTCGACTGCCCCCTTTCTTTTTCTGAATGAAGCACAAGCACAGCAGTGAGAAAGAAAATCTTGCTTGTAAGCTGGCTCCCTCTCTCACTACCACACTTATGCCATCATGCGCACAGTGTGCACCCCTCCCTTCTCCTCCGACCCTCCCTTTCGTGTGGATTCTGTCTCTCTCTCTCTTACAGGTCTTGTTTGCTCTCTGCCTTTGTGAAACAATATAATTGCAATGACAGGCAAACCATGGCGCGCAAGAAGCCAAGCTGTTTAAAGAGTTGCTTGGATCCGCTATAATGTCACTTGATACAACAGCAGCACCACTGAAAGCTTATAGTAAATGAATGAATATAAATAAATAGACTCTTTTACAGGTACAGGTTAGGAACTTTTTTTGCAATAATCAAACACCTGGAGACAGGCAGAAGCCACAGTCCCCATTCATCACTCATTATATGGAAAGTCTGAAGTCGTTGTCTTTGGCGTTTGTCTGGACAAACTAAATGAGTACTGACAGATGCTGGTGAACCAGACAACTGCTCCAATATATAAACAATTTAAAAAAAAAAATAAAGAGGAGGAAGGGAAGATGGAGTGAAATAATGAAACCACCTCATTAGCAAGGAAAAGCCTTAATCCCACAAGACAACACATTTGCATGTTTTCCCAGTAGCCCCCACTGCAAATGACAGCTGAAAGATGCAGTGGAGGGAAATTATGCAGTCAAAAGTTCAGCATCAAGGAAAACATCAGGAGGATTATCTGTCTCATGGTTTCAGGCTTGACAGTATGTGACCAGGCTTTATAGAGCAAAATTTGAAGAAAAATGTTAGACTGTGGTCCCTCTAGAAATTGTATTCATGCAGCTGTGAAAAAAAAGACTGATTGTTCAATCATTAGTCAAAAGTCATTTGAATATCAACTCACAACTTGCAGACAAAGGAGCTCGCGATGCAAGTTAGACTGCACATCCTTAGTTCGCTAAAAAATTAAAAATTTAATGTACCACTGGTCAAAACTTTGGTACCGCTTAAAAAAAAAACCAAAAAACAAACAAACCGTAGTGCAGCATAAAAAGGCCTCAAAGTCCACACACGATTTCAGCTACCAGCAGCTTCACCAAGTTTCACTTCATGCAAGTTATAACACAATCCAGGGGATAAGTCGATCATTAATATTAAGTCTACAATTAAGAGAAGATTTCATAAAGGCAAATAAAATGATTATTTAAAACAGACTTTACTAAAAGATGCACGCCATAGGATTGGACTTCAAGAAGTTGAAGACGAAGAAGTCGAAGAAGAAAAATGGTGCACATTGTTTTGTGGGGAGTTCTACCCCCGTCCATCATGGATACTTGCATGCAATTGACATATAGGCCTGTTTAAATGCATATCAGAATATCATTTTCACTAGTTTCACAGATCAGTGTTACATTTCTAGTCAGCTAAAAGTCTCAGTAAATCTTGTTTTCTCAAAACACTGTTTTATGTGTCCAATCTTTATTCAAATAGAACAAAACTGTTTTAACCCTTTCCTCTTATAAATGCAACCTCCTGTGGACCCTTGATATCACTGACACATCAGCATATACTGTACATCCATAAGATGTGGTTTGATGACCATTAGAACAATTTCTATGTTTTTTCCAAGCGTAGCTGCGTAGGCAGAGACCACCCTTACTGACTTCTGATACAAACCCAGTTGTTTTGTTCTGTGATCAGGCATGAAATATGACAGAAAGCACTCAGTTCAGAAAATAGCTTCAAGGATTACTTCTAGTAGCCTTTCAGGTAAAGAGTTACAGTACTACAAGTTCACGCAGAAACATAGAAACAACCCTCCAACAGCAACTTGGGTACTCTGAGCTTTGTTACTTTTATAGTACATGTAGTAATTATTAGGTTGTTCTGTAATGCTTTTCTCCTGCTTTGGGAGAGGGCAGTTTATGTTCAAATATATATCTAGACTCATATCAATCCTCGATATTTATTATTTCATAATTTGAATCAAACTATCAAAATGTGATTTCAGTGCAGAGTTCAGCTTTAAGGCTGACGATATACATAGTGCCACCTCTGCAAAGACACAAAAGTAATTAGACAACTGACTGACATGCAGATTCATGGCCAGGTGAAGTCTGTTCCTCATTCCTCATTTTGCGATGACAAATTCAACATCAAAAATCTGAGATTATTTTCAAGTGCATATAATAACTATTCACTGTTCACTCTTAATAAGAGGTATTTGGTCACATACTGTCAATTAAGGTACAAAAATAAATAAACCTGTCCATGAGAGACAGAAAAACTGAGAAATGGCAAAATCAGCAGAAATCACTGACCAGCTCAGCAACACCAGAAACGCCCTAAAAGGGTGGAAACCAACTGAAGTAAATAATCGCAGAATTCTTTCCGTGGTTAAGAAATATCTTTCACAACATTTACCTAACTCAAGCATATTCAAAGAGGTATCACTGTCAGAGTTTAAAAGAGATGCACAGGGTATTTAAATACAGAGGGTTTACAGCAGTTGTGCAATACATGGATTACACTCAACAACAAGAAAGCTAGAATACATTTTGCCAGAAAACATCTAAAACCTGAACGTAGAACCTGCCTTAGCGTAGGGCTGTGAGATATGACTAAAATCTCTTATCCCGATATAAAACATCTATCATCCGATAACGATATAAATCACAAAAATTTAACATTTTCTGTAAATTCTGTGAATTTCGGGTTGCTGAAGTGTTTCCAGCTGGGCGTTGTGTACCTGGAGTCGAGTGTTTTAACCGATGCATGAAACTACACATTTTTAGACATAGGAAACAGCAGCCGATACAACATTTGTATTTATTACACAGCGTACTGCGGGGGAAAGCCTGTTCTAACGTTTGAGTCTAAGGTTTATTTTTTAGCACCTGACGGCTCCTTTTTGCTTCTCATCCGTAAATACTCTGCATACTTTTTCACGTGATTCCGTTTATTTTGAGAAGTCTCAACAGGATCTTGAGCTTTATTATGAAAGGTTTATGTGGAAAATAAACAAGCGGACATGCGATGGTTTTACCATCGTTGTTGCTAACGACAACGCATAAAAACAGGCGATTGTCCGTCTGTTGTGTGGTTATATTAAATATAAGAGAAAGAGAGAACTTTAATAAATTAATATAGCCACTACAGTGACCATCAAAACTATGAGAAAATAATGCCTAAACTGTTTATTTTGCGACACCATGAAACAAACTATAGCGTAAAATGAAACGATAGACATTTTTATATCGTCATCCGATATATATCGTTACATCGAACAGCCCTACCTTAGCATGCCATATTATCTGTCAAATCTTGTAATGTCATGTATGGTTGCCAGTGGAACCGGTCCACTAGTGTTTATTGATGATGATAAAAGTAGTAGTAGGAGGATGAACTAAGTGTGCAAGGCTATAGTCTCTGCTTAGATTAAAATCCTACAAAACTGAACATCACTCCACGGAGTGAATGGATAATGAATTACAACAGACTACGGTACAAATGCAACCTAAGAGTTTCTTCAGTGGCCAAGCCAGCCACCTGATCTCAACTTAACAAAGCATGCTTTTCACCTACTGAAGATAAACCTGAAGGCAGAAAAACCCACAAACAAGCAGCAACTAAAGGTGGCTGCAGAACAGGCTGGCAGAGCATCTCAAGGGAGATTTAGTGGTGTCCAGGGGTTTTTGACTTCAGGCAGTCACTACAATCACGTCATCTTTGCCCAGGTATTTAAAATGATCATTTTTATATTTCAAATTGTGTTAGTCCAGTCACATTTGAGCCTCTGAAAATGTGTTATTATGAAAAACGCCAAAACATTCCAAACAATTAATGCAATGTGTTTGTTAAACCCCTTGTAGTGACAATAAAAGTTTGCACTTCACTTACATCTTGACTATCTGATTTAAAATCCACTGTGGTGGTGTAAAGAGGAAAACTTACAAATATTGTGCCATAGCCCATACACTTATGCACTTAACTGTACAATAAATTTCCCTTTAAAGTCGAAACACTGAGCAGAAGATCAGTACTGTGGCTTAGTGGTTAGTAGCATCACCTAACATTTGAGAGGGTCCTGCAAAACATAAGCAGCCAGAGAAATTTAATAAACAGCTGTTTAGCATCGAACTTCTTTTCTAGCATTGCTTAATTTAAGACACCAGACTTACCCAACCAATGATTCTACAATCCTAGCATGGCCTTGAAAAAAGGTTAGTCTCAGGCTAACAACATGACTGGGATAAAATGCATTGCATGGACTAATGCCTCATAACCTGTCCTGTCACTTCTTCAGACAGGTAGCTTCTTTCACAGATCAGTAAGAGAAGGGCTTAGAAAGAAGGAAGAAGAAAGGGGAGGGGCTGAGTGAGGATCAGTAGCCAAAGATACCACAGATAGAGTGGGAACACAACCACCTTACAAGATGCTGCCATTTCTGCATGCAGCATAGCTAAGCTAAAGCTATTATGAAACACTTGGAAAACTGTTGTTATTTACACTGCAAATATTCAAAGCAGTCATAACAGGTTTTTACTAAAACACCTTTATTTAGGCAAACCCACCTTATCTACTGTGATTCTGCATGGTCTGAGGGCTGTGAGCCATATCTTTTACTAAATAAAGGCTACTAACAAATGCAAAAAACATCCAGCTTTGCAACAAAGTATACTAAAGTTAGTCAAGCTGATGTACCAATCTGAGGCCTGACTTATAGCCATGTCACCTCCCTTCTGCTTTGATCGATAATTTACATCAAAGCAAGCAATGGAGGACAGTAATGGAAAAAGAAGACTGACAAACAGAGTAGAAGACATCATGAGAAAATGAGTTCAGAAAACTAAGAACAGGTGAAGGGGGAACAAATGAAGATGGAGAGAGAGAAACAGAAGCAGGAGCGGTTAAGAGCAGAGACAGATAGGAGCAGCAGCAACAGCACCACGCTTGGTGCTTTGGCAGAGATCTATAAATAGCTCTTCAAATCTCTCTAGAAAAAGCCACTCTTCTGCTTATGCTGCTGCAAACAGAGATTCAGAGGCAAAAGCAGATATCTGAGCGATAAATACACAGATATAATCTTATTGGATAAGTTTCTTTTTTTAATTACTCTAGGTTTAAAATATGCTTACAATGGCCACATTGGCTTGTATGAATACATGAATGCAGGAAGCAAATACATTAAAGTGAGCAAGTTAGCATAAAAACCACATGATTTACTAGAATAGGCGAAAGCACCCTGCAAACCACATTAAACACGAACATGAAATTACATATACTTAACAGATAGTAATCAACAAATTTCCTGATTTTCATAAAACTCCATAAGCAATCAATACTTCACAGTTACATGAATGTATGTATATGCACAAAGATCCACAGGGTGCAGGGTATAAGGGAGGGAAATATGTTGACAGAGAGGCAGGTTACTCCATCTTTCTCATTGGTGGCCTTAGCAACAGTAGACTGTTGATTCAATGACTCACCTCCTACAGATCTTACAATGGACCATACTTTTCAATGATACTGCCCTGACACCAACAATCATACTCTGTGTTGCTTACAAAATATTTAAGAGAATAAAGCTGTATTAGGGAAAAAATTGATTATAAAGTAGTAACAGTGCTTTAAACCAGAAAAACTAACATTGCTTTATCGGGGTTATCACCTTGGACTACTATTAATCTAACTGGGAAGCATTTTTATGACAATCTCAACATCAAATGGAACTAAAATGGAAGTCCCTGCTTGCCACTTATCAGTCCTCATTGTCACATGACTGGCCAACACCAATTGATATGTTGGGGGGGGGGAGTTTTTTGTTGTTTTCCCAGGCACACATGTCATTTTCCCAGAGCAGATGTTTGAACCACTTATTCTATGCTGTTATCCCACCTTGTTTTCACAGCACTGTTGCTGCCTATTTTTGGATTGAGTTTCAAAAAAGTAAAGCTAAAGCCAAGACTCGGAGAGTGATGACCACGTGTGAAGTATGTCTTGAGAAAACCCCACTGTTTTCTTGATCACTTACAACAGTGCGATTTACTGGGGCACAAATCTCTAGCCAGCTCTGAGTCACTAATAATGAATTATTAAGGAATTAAGACTGGAAGAGCCAAGGCTTAAAATCACTGATATTTACTTGAATGTCAAAAAGCAAGCTAATGAAAACACTTAACACAATACAACCTTAAATTGCTTGGAGCAGTGAAGACGGCTTAGTACTGTAGTACAACCTGCATTCCGCCATGCAACCCACCGGCACTCAGTCCTATAAAAACACTACAGCTCTGTAACTTTCCGTTGGTTTGTATTAATATCTCAACCTTGTTAGCTGACGTTTCAAGTCTTGAGTTGTTATATGAAAGTCACACACGTCAACAAATAAAACTTTGTTGTATCCAGTGTGTGTTTTGAGTATGACTTCAATGAAGAGCCATAAGCAATTAACAATTACTTAATTTTTATTCATCCAGATAGTTAATCGCTTCGGAAAAAGCAAATATTCCCAGGGTTTTAGTGAACCTTCTTGGTCACGATTGGAAGGATAAAATGTTAACATGGCCATCTCGTGCCTGGCATAGGGAAGGCGGACTTTAAAGATGGTGCTTAACGTTGCGTTACATATTAAAGATAGTGGCTCTTGAGTCATCTTCGCGGGTTCGGCTTACCGTGTTGTTGGCAGTATGTCTTGAGTTGCGTGGAGAATCCTTCAACTTGGGTCTGTAGAAGACAGATGGCAGTTTGGTCAGAGTCGTAGCTGTGCAGCTGACTGAAAATATTAGCTTGCCTCTATGCTAACAATAGCTAGTTCACAGCATTAGCCTGCCTCGTCCGGCGTGTATAATTAGCTACCTAGCTAATACTAGCCCGCTAGCTAGCCTTTTCTTTTTAGTGGACGCTAGCTACTCAGCGTCCATGAAACACAACGTTAATATTACAACTCGCTGTTCAATAAGAGTGTGCCGTGGATCACAGAATGGCGAAACTTGCTGTGGAAATGTACAAGCACTGTCAGGTCTCAAAATAGAAGGTGCTAGCTAGTACGGTTAGCAAGCTTTCCAAATGACTTACCGATGCTAATATAATGGTGCTGCTAGCTTGAGTTGGCTCACCGCGACCCCGACTGTCAAAATAGCGCCGCGTGAGGGGAGAGCAGCATGGACGTTAATGCGAGATAGCAAGCGCTGAAGAACACGGCGGTCGAGTCCGACGCAGGAATACTGCTAAATAACAACAAAACCCTAAAGAATAAATGACACAAAACTAAAGAAAAAAGAAACAAAACGCTATTCCCCCGTCAGGGCTCCGGCTTGTGTGTGTTAGCGTCACTTTTTTCCCCTCACCGACAGTTGACGTCAGCGGCGTACCTCCTAGTCGTACGGATACGTAGCCTACAGGATGCATGAGAACTTTGTTTTGTGCATCAAGCGTTAAAATGTAATATGCAGTTTCGTTACATCTCAGTGATGTATGTTTGAAAATCTATTACTGGGATGTAATTTGACAGCTGTCCACTTCTGTAGGAGATGTGTCATTCAAAGTTGTTTAAATACTATAAAATGTAACGATTTCACATTTCTTAAGATGATATTTTTCTTCTTATAGCCTATAACATCTAGTCTATCTAATAAATATTTAATATATATATATATATTAAATATAATTTATTATATTTTATATATATATATATATATATATATATATATATATTTTTTTTTTTTTTTT